GGTGCCACTTATTGATTGCTGACCTTAATTCCTGAGCAACTTCTGTCCGATTTAGAAAATCCTTTTCTATACCTATATCCTCTAAGTTACTGCCAATATTTTCTTCTAATAGTTTCAGGGTTTCCAGTTTCACATTGAGGTCTTTGATCCTTTTGGAGTTGACTTTTCTGCAAGGCGAAAGATAAAGATCTAGTTTCATTCTTCTACAGGTGGAGATCCAGTTTTGCCAGCACCATTTGTTGAAGATGCTGTCTTTCCTCCATTGTGTGTTCTTGGCACCTTTGTCAAATATCAGGTGGCTGAAATTGTGTATACTCAGGTTTGGTTCTTCAATGATGTTCCACTTATCTATGTGTCTGTTTTTGTGCCAGTACCATACTACTTTTATGACTATGGCTCTGTAGTATACTTTGAGATATGGTATAGTAATCCCCCCAGCGTTGCTCTTTATGCTCAGGGTTGCTTTGACTATTCAGGGTCTTTTGTGCCTCCATATGAATTTAAGGATGCATTTTTCTAATTCTGTGAAGTATGTCATGGGGATTTTGATTGGGATTGCATTGAATCTATATATTGCTTTTGGTAGGATGGTCATTTTAACAATATTAATTCTCCTGATCCATGAACATGGGAGGGGAGCTCTTTCCATGTCCTGGTGTCTTCCTCAATCTCTTTCTTTAACGATTTAAAAATTTCATTGTAGGGATCTTTGGTGTCCTTGGTCATATTTATTCCAAGATATTTTAATTTTTTGTGGCAATTGTGAATGGAAGCATTTCCCTGTATTCTTTCTCCAATTGCTTATTATTAAAATACCAGGATTCTTAATCCAAGGATTTACTACTTTCATCAGAAAAAGCAATGTATTTTGAAAAAAAACCTTTTTGCAAAGGATGGGGTATGTGCTGTGAGCTGGGAAGGAGCCCAGGGGAACCAATGACTTGCTTGCGAGTGGATGTATGTGTGAGTAGTCGAGAAGAAGAAGGCAAAGTGGGAGAAAGAACAGCACAGCATTCGCAGGCGTCTTCCCTCCCATTCTTACCATTTCTTTACTTCCTCTGGCAGTGTTGGGTAAAAGCCTGTTTTCTTACCAGAACTTTGCCCAGACACAGAGACGCACATGAAGCTCTGGATTCTTCTTCTCGTTGCCATGTCCATCCACGTGATTGTGGTGCTTATGCCTGTGCTAGGAAACCTGAAGGACAAAACTGGTAATGATGGTGGGATGACAAGGGTGGGTCTGCCCTATGCACCCTTACTGATGTCTGTCAAAACTAGCCTTCGAAAGATCATAACCTGGCAAAATGATTCAGTGAGTAAAGGTGGCTGTCGCACAAGCCTGACAGCCTGAGTTTGATTCTCCAGAACCCATGGTGGAAGGAGAGAACTGACCCTCAAAGGTAGTCCTCTTCACATTAGAGGCTTTACATATAAATTAAGTATTAAATTGGGCAGGGGCTATAAGGGGAGGTGCGGACAGGGGAGGGGATCTAAATACCATCAAATTATATTGTATGAAAATCACAAAAACTCAATTAAAATGTTTTTAAAAAGGTTGATTAGCACATACTTAGTCCATAAACTAGCTGTGATAAGTCATAATAATATGACCTAAAGATTCAGGTAGAAAATGCCAGAATGAGAAGCCCAGGATACACAAATATGCAAAGGTTGAGCTAACAAGGAAAAGTTGAAATGACGATGGAGAATATAAAAAAAACTAAACTAAATTAAAATGGTGTTGTGAGTTTTATTATGTTCAATACTTAAACTCATAATCCAAATTAATTTTATAACAAAAATTAAAATAAAACATATTAATGCAGGTTTTAATGTTTTCATGATCGAAGAATAGGGACTCTGAAGACATAATGTATTTTGCATTTTTATTACATTTATTTATTTTGTGTGTCCATATGTATATGTATGGATACACATGTGTCAGGAATACAGGTAGAATTTAAAGGACAATTTATGGGGAATTGGTTCTCTCCTTCCATCTTATGGGTCCCAGGGATTGAATGCAGGTGGGAAGGTCTCAGGATAAGCACCTTTGCCCACTGACCCATCTTACTGGTCCCTGTAATATATTATTTCCTAAAAATCTCCTCTTTTGGCATAGCAATTGCGTAAGTTTCATCTCTGGCAGTATGAAATAGAGGAGCCATTTATTTTGAAAGGGAATGTTCTTATCGGTCAAGTCTAAGAAGTTAGAGAAAAAAATGCAAATAACCATGCTTAAAAGCATATTTAGATAGATGGATGGATAGATTGCGAATGGGTAGATAGGTAGATGAACAGATAGATAGAAGTAGGTAATTGGAGAGGTAGATGTAGATATAGATATTGCTAAATAAAATTTATAGAAAGCCATGGTTTTGGACTGATGTCCTACATTAGGACCTAAGAGATCAGAATAAACCATAATGGAAACTGCATGTTAAATGCCGCATAGTAAGACCGTATTTAAAAACAGGGCAGAAATGCTGGGCATGGTGGCACACGCCTTTGATCCCTGCACTCAGGAGGCAGATCTCTGTGAGTTCAAGGCCAGCCTGGTCTACATAGTGAGTTCCAGGCCAGCTGGGGCTACAGGGAGACCCTGTCTCAAAAAGACCAAAAAAAAGGCAGGGAAAAAAGATCCATGACAACCAATCAGAAAGGCCCCAGTCGGCCAAGTTAACACTGTAAGATAAGCCCTATGCGTTAACCTCGTTAAGGAGAGTGGCCTGGAATAATATGATGCTAACCAATTTTTTTGATGAGACTGTCTCCTTGTTCTAATTCAAGCACTTTTACAAACCCCTGGTATGCTGTTTCCAGCAGAGCACCTTTCTACCTCCCAGTGGAGCCCACCCAGTTCATGAAACACTAATTCAAACCTGTTAGATCTCTACTGCCCAAATTTAGTTTTTTGTATGTATATGTGGATATGCATAAGGACTGGAAGGGGATCAATTTGAAAATAGATAAAAGAAGTAAATATTTTTTTCTCAAAAGACAGAGGAAGCAAATATTTAAATCAATAGTCTGTAATTTTCACTTAATGAGTGAGAAAAAATAAAGTGTTCGATGGTCTTGGAACTCAGTTCAAAGCTGCAAAATTCAAAAGCCTGCTTTGAATTATGTTTGATTGAAATAATGTTCTTTCCAGCAGTTCATATGTTTGTTTTAGATATTAACCTGATTCACTTTATTTAAAGAAAACATATCAAACACATATATGCATATAGTAGATGTAAGAACAAGTTGGACAAAACCAAGTTGTCCTCTGACTTCCACATGACATATGCAACCCCCCACTGCACCTCCAAAACTTAAAAGATCAGAGCCCTCCTTAATCAGAGCATCCCAGCAAGATTAGGTTGGATGCCGGGTGTGGCGGTGTAGGCCTTTAATCCCAGCACTCAGGAGGCAAAGGCAGACAGATCTTTGTGAGTAAGAGCCCAGACTAGTGTACATGGTAAGTTCCATCACTGCTCCAGCCATGGCTCCACAGTGAGACCCTGTCTCAGCCTCCCCCCAACCCCCGCCAAAAGAAAAGAAAATTAGGTTGGATGCTTCTGGTCCGCTGTCTCTTGGTACTCCCTCTCCTGCTCTGAAAGCGGTGCTGGGGACACAGAAGGAACAAAGCTTTTTCTACATTCCACAGACTAGTACGACACACTAATGTCAGACCAGCTCAATTAGAGTCAAGTACGGAAACACCAGCGCCAACTTTTCCTTTGAACCCACATTTCCTTTTTTTTTTTTCCCCAATTTGTTTTTATTGAATTTTTGTGTATTTCATACAGAATAGCTCAAACAATCTTAACCATCTTTTTATTCCTGTCCCCACTGGTACCCCCAGAACCCATATCCCTGTCATTCCTGTTAAGGCCCACTATGTTGTCAGTGTCCCCAGACGTTCCCCAGTGCAAGTCCGTCCACTGAGGTTTAGTCAGCCTATCTAGAGTCTCCTGTTTTAGGAAGATCAGCTCTTCCTTGCCTAACAGTAATCAGTTGCCAATATTTCTTCAGCTAATATTGGGGTCTGATGTTTGTTTCCCCAGTTCTATGCTGGGTTTTTATCTGGCTGAGTTTGCATGGGACTTGTGTACGCTGACACAATTGTCATAGAATCATATGAGCAGGTTCCCAGGAGCTTGTAGGCCTCTGTTTCCATATGGTCCTGCACCTCCTCCCTGGCTCTTACAATCTTTCTGCACTCTCTTCTGCGATGGTCCCTAAGCCCTGGGTGGGTGAAGTTTAATACATAAGTCCTGTCCAAGGACCAGCATTCTGCGACTCTTAATTGCTGCGTTTTGGCTATTTGTGACCTTTTGTTGAACCCGCATTTTCAAAACCTCTGTGTTTTGGCTGAGTGAGACATTGCTGAATAACAAAATGGAGATAATAAATACAACAGTTAGTCTGGGAGCCTTTAGGGAATGAAAAATGGACCCAGAGTCCCACAGTGCTCTGGTGACATATGGAAGGAAGGCATGCATGCTGTACAGAGATGATCTCTTCTGATGAGACTGGATAGGATTTAAGAAAGGGCTTTCTTTCTCCTTCCTTCCTTCCTTCCTTCCTTCCTTCCTTCCTTCCTTCCTTCCTTC